TCATGTGCACTGGAATTTACTAACTACATGTTACTAAGATGTTCTCTAAATCTTACATGCAGCAGTCCACAAATTATGTATTTTCAATGCGATGTCTAGCTGAAAAAAATTCTCGATCCCAATAGCCATTAGGACGAGTGGAAATGGAAAGGAAACTAACGATGTTGCAAAGAAAAAGTGTAATATGGTTCTTTATCTTTCTTAAAAAAGGACCTAAAAAGCTTTTCATCTATGCACGAAGTTATGTAAGACACCTGATATGTTTTATATAACTTTTCTTCCTTCTTTCAGAAACGGCGAATGGACTATGCTATAGTACGTTTCGCAAAAAGTGGTCTGAGTATGGGAGCGAAAGCAGCCATAATTTCCGGCTCTATTGTGTATGCATCATATCATCAGTGCACTTTCGAATGATTTCTGTTTCGTTGAGCTACGTCTGAATGGCTCTTTAAGGATTGCATCTACACACCTTGCTGCCTATCGTCAACGGTTCTCATCGTGGTACTTACCAGCTTTCTCAGGTGCGCTCGCCGTCGCACTTCATGAAGGTAGTTAGGTCTAGTAATCCTCTGGCTAGTTGATTTACATTTATAGCATTAGTGGGTGGTGTCTTTACGTTTCCGCTTGGTGTCATTGGTTCTCTGAAGGCAGTTGGATTGGGAGTCACCTCAGGGTAAGGTCTTTTTCTGTTGATATTGCACTTATTCATGTTTGTTTGCAGTGATTTCAAGATAATCAACATGTTAGAGATCCATAAAATGTTTATTTTGGAAGTGATTTCTGAAGAAGTAGTTTGGGTGTTCTTGCGCACATGATCTATGTCATTATCTTGAAAACGCTTCGAGAACGAGTAAAAGAAGCTTAACAATAAGCGCATTTGAGGGTCAGTTATGGACCAGCATCAAGAATCCAAGAAGTTCTTAGTTTCAATGTCTTCTCTTTACCAGACTGTATGTTTTAAATCTATGGCGTTTCCTGGAAGGGTAGGGCATCTCCACATGAAATGAGTCCTGTTGAAACAAGTGAAAAAGTGCTACTATAATAGGGGCACCATATAAAGCTGCCGGCGCGTGCCTTCGTTCGTTTATTTGCGATAAACGATAAAGATCACTGCACTTTATTTTATGTAGGGCAGCTCCGAGTCAATATAGCACCAGCGTTGCACCGCCTCCCGATCCGCGGTAACTCGATAGCTCCAACCCGTCTGGAGGTAGCAGCATGGAGGAGCCCTACCTTTTGCTGTGCTGCTGTTCCCATTTGAAATGATATTTTTCTCAGAAACGATCGTATTTAAACATTCATCAACTGCAGAAGTGGCTGAAACTACACAGAGTATTTGGTAGATTTATTTTGAACAATTTCCTTCACATCACTCGACAGTTTTTTTATCAAAATAAACTGCAAAAACCTAAACGGTACGTGATTTTCAATTGACAGTTCACTTTAGATGTAAGCCTATCTTATTAGTATTGGCGTTTATACCTGAAACTTCGTTTGGGAGATATAATGTTCTAAACCACTCAGTTAGTTTTGAGTAGTCTTCCAGTACCGTTTAAAGAACACTGCCATTATCCTAAAATGCTACCGCAGACACGGAAAGTCCTAATGTCTTAGAAAGGATAGGAAATTCAGTGACGCAGATGTGATTTCTGAAAGTGTGCCCTGCTATATTCGTGGAGCCAAAATCTATATCATTCCACGTCAAGTTTGCCGACAGAGTGGAGAGGATTGAGATTTAGCAGATCTAGTTTTGATAAAACTATCGCTTGAGATAAGTTTCAGAGTGATAATTTGATCAAATAACAGTTGCCTTTCTCTTTCGCCTGCCATATAACTTTACTCATTTAGAGGTCTAATATTGTGCTTTTCATTACTTTACAAAGGAATAAGTAAGTAATTTAAGTAAATTTTAAAGAAAAATTTTCAAGGTTTCCACAGTTTCGCTAAAAATAAATGATGTTCATTTATCCCAAGCGCTCTCAAGTCGGCTCTTATTCTGTCCGTCCACCTTATCTTTAGCCTTCTAAGCGGTCATTTTCCAGCGACCTACAGAGACATTGCCACTCTTGTGATTGGGTCTAATCTCTTCTACTCACATGCCCGCATCATCGCAGTCGTTTTTCCTGCATCTTCTTGGTGATGGGAACAACTTTGATCTTAGCAAACTGTGTCATTATAGACATGATCCAGCAAGGTAATACGCAATTTCTATCGCAACATTCTTGTCTCCATGATCCCAAGCGTGTGTTCTTCATTTCGTGTACGTGGCCAACATTCACTGCAATACAGCGCTGTTGGACGGATCACAGTAGGGTATATTTGGGATTTAAGTTGCACTGGCATTCGCTTGTCACATAGAACTCCTGTGAAGGTCCTCCATTACATCCAAGCTGCCTTTGTCCTGGCCTATAACTCATTTTGAAGTCCTAGTCGCCAGAGATGCGACTTCTTAGTTGCTTGAAAGCGCTCGTCTGCTTAATTGGCTCATCTTCGATGTATATGATTTTTGAAGTTTGACCCCTCACTTCCATACACTCTACCTATTTGTGTTGAGCTTCCAGCCGTGTGACCGTGGTTGTTCCTTCCATCTTTGTACCTCTTCTTCAAGTTCTTTTCCGTTTTCTATCATCAACACCACATCATCTGCATACAGAAGAGCGCATGGACCCTGTCGTTTAAGAACTTCCGTCACTGCGTCCATCACTGTGATGAGGTAGAGGAGAAAGCACCAATCCCTGATATGCGCCGGTCTTTATGCAAACGGTTATGACTGCCCTGCCGCTTTTGCGCATGATTTGTGGCGCGTAGCTCTTTTTCTCTATACTTCTTTATCACTATCCATGTGATTAGCAGTACCGGCATCTTTTAAAAATCCGCACTGATTGGATGACAACTCTGTTATCTTTCGAATCGTGTTTCAAGTTTTCTCGAAGATCTCCAGAATGTGGCTTATCAGTCGTATTGGCCGGTATGTTGAACAGTCTGCGATATCGCCTTTATTCTACCATATCGGAATTGTTTTGCTCTTTTACCAGTCATGGGACATGCTCTCAGCTTTAATGATTTGATTGAAGAGATCTGCAAGCCAAAAGGACCGAGCCGTCCGCATTACCAGAATTTGCTTGGTATATCATCTGGACTGGTAGCTTTGCCGTTCTTTGTCTTTGTTATAGCCAGCCATACTTCCTCTGCTGTTATGTGTGGCACTGGTCCTTTCACAGGGTCAGCTGGTGGGATGGTGCTGGTAGTTGACGACATTTTTTCAAAGTACTTCGCATCTCAATTATTCCCCGTGATCTTCTTAACGTTTTTCCAAACTTGTTTTTGATATGGTAGAAGTGTTCCATATCTTTTGTAGACTCTGCTCTCCTTCCCGCTAATCGGTATATATCTCGCCCTCCCTCTTTCAGATTCCAATTTCCAATCCAGCTCTTCTACGTATGCCTTCTTCGCTTTCTTGAACAGTTCTTTGCAGCTTGTTTAAGGTACGACTGTCGATTACATATTCCGACTTATGCCATTGCTTGTATACTTGACTTTTTTACTTCAGCGCCATTTGAACCCCATCGTTGCAACACCAAATTTCTTTATCGATTCTTTTTCCTCATGGCTTCCCATGACCAGTAAATTCCTTGTTATCCGATATACATTAAGCTTCAAGGTTGACCATGATGTTCTGTTTTTTTCACCATAGTAGGGCACTTACCAGAGCATCTTTGGCCAGCGAGTTTTCTTTTAATTTCCCTTTCTTGATTCGCTTTGTTGTTAGTCATGGATTCTTTTTCAAGTGGATTAGGCCTAAAAGTAGTGGCTTATGCTGAGGCATGCAGCTTTCACCTGGGATAACTTTGCAATCCTTTATGTCCTTTAAGTTATTTTGACGCACTGCCCAGTAGTCAATTTGTGTTTGAAGGTCTCCACTTGTATATGTAATCAGGTGTTCGTGTTCTATGGTGTAGGTTGACTAAGGCTTGGTTTAGGCTGTAGCGAACTCAAGGACGCGTTCGCCTTCTTCATTGGATGTCCCGTATTCGTGGTTCCCGTGACACCTTCCTGCGCTATTTCTTTTCTTCCTCACATGACCATTGAGTTTGCGTCAGGCTGTGGTATCTCATCCTGCTTGGAGACCTCAATGGTATGAATGTGATTAGTCGTCAAGCTCCTGCCAGAAAATGATCCTTTCTTCTTGCTTGCACCCGGCTTGCGGAGCATAGGCGGTGACAATCCGTTTTTCCCAGTGTCGATCTTTATTCTCATAAGTCGATCAT